AGGCAGTGGTCTCCAACCTTGGCAACTTTAAGACTTGTGGACTTCAACTCCCAGATTCCCTCAGCCAGCTTTGCTGGCTGAGGAACTCTGGGAGTTGAAGTCCACAGGTCTTAAAGTTGCCAAGGTTGGAGACCACTGCCTTAGAAGACTGAGAGGCTGGACCTTTTGGAAACAATGACCTCTGTGATGGTTTCTTCCTCTAGATTCTTTGACATGGAACAAGCCCAACCTGAGAGGGGTGGCTCCACTCCCCCGAAGTCTGCATTCAGCCACAACCATTGGGAACAAGTAAGTTCCTCTCCTATCCTGACATGTTTCAGCCAAATGTTTCAGCCAAATTTTAATTTTTGTTCTTTCTTTCTTTGCAGAATGTATGTATTTGGTGGCTGGGTGCCTCTTGTTATGGATGATGTCAAAGTGGCTACACATGAAAAGGAATGGAAATGCACAAATACTCTGGCCTGTCTCAACTTAGGTATGGGAGGCTATAAAGGCAATGCCTCTTTTAACCTTAGTTGCTCTTTATTCTACTAAGAAGCCTGACCTTTTGTGCATGTATCTACCAATGCAGACTCCATGGCTTGGGAGCCCATTCTGATGGATACACTGGAGGAGAATACTCCACGGGCACGTGCAGGGCATTGTGCCGTGGCCATTAATACCCGCCTGTACATCTGGAGTGGCCGTGATGGATACCGCAAAGCCTGGAACAACCAGGTTTGCTGCAAGGATCTCTGGTATCTTGAGACCGGTAAGAAGTACTGCAGCGGAGATACTATCTACCCATTTACATGTTACTCGGGCTTCTATGATATTGTAGTCTGTTAAGTCTCATGATAGGCTCATGCTGTTTGTTTGGATTCTCCGAATTCTATTTATTACATTTTTTTATCCTGCCTTCATTACTTTATAGTAACTCAAGGCAGTGAAAATACCTAATACACCTTCCTCCTGCTATTTTTCCCACAACAACAACCGTTTGAGGTAGGTTAGGATAAGATAGAGCGATTGCCTCAAAGCCACCCGGCCAACTTTCATTCCTAAAGTGAGATTAGAATTCACAGTTTACTGGTTTCTAGGCCAGCACCTTAATTATTGCACAAACCGACTCTCTTAATTTCTTAGAAATTATTTAATATGTTGAGAGTCATCATCTGTCATGGGAACATAAGCAATGCCAATATTTGAACAGACTGGTTCTCTGTGTAGGGAAAGTTTTAAAATATCGTAGAAGTGTGAAACATGTTGCTGCTCCAATTACATCCTGAAGTACACATTTCAGAAAGGTCTGTACTTGTGGGGGGTTTTTTTTGGAACATGTGGATGTTGCTTTCATATTGGAATTTCTGATGAGAACCGAGTATAGTGCATTGCTCTGGATGCGTTTTCTGCATTCTTTTAAGGAGAATTGTGTTGCTAGAAGCCCAGACTCCAAAATGTTTGGATCTATAGCCTCACACTGATTAAGTGCACTCTGGATAATACCAGTGTTACATCGATTGTCCTTATCCCAAAAAAAGAAAGCAGGGTGTCTAAATTAAAACAGGATCCAACAGTAGGACTAAACTAGGCCCTGTTGAGATTGTATTATATCAAGTTTTCTATAAGTAACTTTTAAATTAAATACTTTGATAATGATTGTAGAAGATTCCATAAGTATCCTTTTCTTGGTTTTGTGGGGGGGGGGGGTTGTCTTTTCAAACAGTATAACTGTAAATTTCTCAGTCTCAAACTTTTTAGAAAGCAAAAGGAAAAGTTATTTTTCCTGGTTTTAAAACATGTTTAGCCAAAGGCCTTCTGTGAGAATTAAAGTACCTCAAATGGTACTTTATCACCCCATCAAAAGAAGTTTAAAAGAATGTTTGGGGAGGAAACAGCAATGTTTTGGTGCAATATTGTGTGACAGTACCTTCAGGGGGAAACAATCTAATCAGAATCCTTTCAAGTGTTGTGTTTAAAATGGTGTGGAAAACTTGTTTTATCTGGAATGTGGGAGTTTGTACTCTCGTGACAGATAACAGTGGGGCCATTTTCCTAATACCATCTACCCTTGTTCTCTTTTACCCACAGAGAAACCTCCACCCCCTTCACGGGTTCAGCTGGTTCGTGCCAACACCAACTCCTTGGAAGTGAGCTGGGGTTCTGTCCCAACTGCGGATACGTACTTACTCCAACTGCAGAAATACGACATCCCAGCTGCCTCCTCGCCAGCTGCTAATCCTGTGCCCTCAGTGCCTGTCAATCCCCCGAAGAGCCCTGCCCCTGCTGCTGCTGCACCTGTCCCTGCCGTGCAGCCTTTGGCACAAATGGGTATCACCCTGCTGCCGCAGACCACAGCTGTTGCTGCGGCCACTGCTGCCACCGCCGCTGCCGCTGCTCCTGCCCCACCAACCACAACAACCATCCAGGTGCTTCCTACCGTGCCTACAAGCCCAATGCCAGGGCCTCCTCCGGCAGCTGCCATTGCTACTCCTCGTCCACAAAGTAAGGGAGAAGTTTTTTTTAAAAATTTTCCAGTTGAAATTTTCTACTTTCAAAATGGTACACAGCCCTTGAATCTGAGTTTCCTTCTTAGCAGGAGCCCTGCTTAGTAAGAGCACCACCTTCAGTTTTCCAAAAAGGGGGGGGCATCTGTTTCATGGCATTTCCCCCCCTTAATGTCAGTCTTCTGAAATTCCTTTTCTTAAGAATCATCTTAAAAGAATTGATTTCCTTTTAGCAGGGAACAAAATAATTAGAGTGGAGTTCAACTCCACTGAACACAGTGTACTTTCAGGTTCATATTTTAACAAATATTCTCGCCATCCTTTATTTTTCTACTTGTGTGTTCCACAAATTCAAAGCCACACAGCTGAGTGCTTTTCACATTTTTCCGTAAGAGGAAAAAGATGAGCTATCCTTACGATGCATTGTGTAATCTGCAAATTGTTTCAAAGGGAAAAGATTTTAAACTTCAAATGGGATGTTCCAGAAATTCCAGAAGTGTTTCGTGCTTGTGGTGGTACTATTTGAATAGCTGTTTAGAATTTGGAGCATTTGGTTTACTACTGAAGTTTTATCCTGCCAAGGGTGTGGATCAATTTTTTAAAAAGTAGTTTCCAAATTAACTGCATTTTGCTAGGATAGCTTTTTTGAAACCCCAGAACTGCAATAGGTAGAAATCTATATTTTTGAAGCACATGCATCAAAATTAATTTAGAAGTGTTGCTTTAGCCATCATTTGCCGTTTTGTGGCTCTGTCTAGTCATAATGTGGTTCTTAAAGCAACTGCCACTTTGGAAGGCTGGAAAAGGCTACTTGAATAATTAATAAATTCTCTGTTTATATGAAGCCCACAGTACTTCTGGAACATTTTGGTACACACAACCCTTATGTGCATGTAGTCTAAAATTCCATCTGCTTGTTTTCTTTCTGCAGCTGTTCCAGCTGTGCTGAAGGTCACTGGCCCACAAGCTACCACAGGAGCACCACTGGTAACTGTGCGGTCAGCAGGACAAGCTGGGAAAGGCCCAGTGACCGTGACTTCTTTGCCAGCTGGGGTGCGCATGGTGGTACCCACACAGAGCACTCAAGGGACGGTAAGTGGAGGCAGGAATGATGGGGACCTGTGCTGGAAGAAAGAATTCATCACATCTCATCCTCTTTTGCCTGTCTATGTCATTAATGCATTGCCATTTTTTTAAAATCAATATATGTTTTATTTCATTTTCATTTTCAATTTATACAATCACTTATATACTGTGCGATTAAAGAAACAATAAACACAACTCTTCTTATATTCCAAAATGCAAAACCAACATAACACTTCAACCCTCCATACACCCTTTCTTTCTCCCCCCCCAACTTTCATTTCTCCCCTTCAGCATTCCCCTCCTCTACTCCCCCTCCCCCTCTAACGTTCCTTTCTCCCCCTCCATCTTTCGTTTCCCCCCTTCCACAATCCCCTCCTCTACTTCCCCTCCCCCTCTAACGTTCCTTTCTCCCCCTCCCTCCATCTCTTCCCCCCTTCCACAATCCCCTCCTCTACTTCCCCTCCCCCTCTAACGTTCCTTTCTCCCCCTCCCTCCATCTCTTCCCCCCTTCCACAA